TATATATACATATATATATAATGCGAAAAGCCTGGAAACTATAGGCTTCGCTAAGGATGATTCGAATCATTTGTATTAGTGCGCAGGATAATTTACCATTTTAAGAAAATTTTAATTTTACCATTTTAAGAAGAATCATGTACTGTCCATTCTAGAAGTATTGATTAACGGAGTTAATTACGTAAAAAATTCTTCTTACTATTAGTTTGGTTATGAAAGGCCGGCCATGACTACATCGTCAAAGATAATTTAACACTCCGATATCGTTTTCGATTTCTTATGAACATGCTTATTGATTTTAAAAAGGTTTCCGTAAGGTGGTCAAATAAATGGTGTACAAAAAAAAAGTTTAAGTTAAAACTGTTGATTGCTGTTTCCTCTTTTAGTAGGTGGAGGATCAGCGGGATCTACAGTGGCAGCTCGTTTATCCGAACTACCGTGCTGTAATGTGCTTTTACTAGAAGCTGGAAATGTAGGGCCTTTGTTAAATGATATACCTGCATATTCAAGAAATTATTATTTCGATGACATTAATTGGATGTACAAAACTACACCACAAAAAAACACAGCTCGGTTGCAAGTAAAGGCTTTGTTTCTGTAACATAAAAGTTTAGTGGAAGAACATACAAACTGTTGCGGCAAGTTTTTAATGTGGATATGGTATATCATAAAGATTGAAAACTGCATAAAAAGCCATTAAAAGTGAAAATGAAACAACAATGAAATCAGTAACAGAGGCATAAATCTTATAGAAGTCAGGAGAATGATCAATTGTAATCCTTATTTGGGCATCATAAGTACAAATGACGTAAAAGATGAATGCAGTTAATAATTTTTCAACAGATGCATGCTCAATCATATGTTCTACATGCTGAATACCAAAGGAGCGTCCCGTAGTGGACTGGTCGTAAAGACACTGTTCCCAGTGGAACACCGTTGTCAAGCATCACTGGCTGCGGACAGTAAGTAGGGGGTGACCACTTTGATCAGCCTGCTTGGTGAACGAAGGTGCGCGGTATCAGTCCTCGTTAATCTCTTCAACCGCAAAGTACTCGACTTCGCTCGCAGGTTATCGGGCAACCAAACCAGGGGGGCCATTCCTTTTGCAGAGGAAATTACGACGGCATGTCTTCGGATCCTCCTCAGAGGATGCCACATTGACATTGACTGGTCAGCGGTATCTTCAGCTGCTTGGAGACCATCTCCACCTTTTTGTCATGTTTCAACACCTTGATGACATTGCTGTGTATCAAAATGAAAACGCAGCCCCACATCGTGCCAATATCGTCCGTGCCTGGTTCGACGAGCATGCAGGTGAGATCCAACGATTGAATTGGCCACCTCAAAGTCATTATATGAACCCCATTGAACATATCTGGGATGCCCTCGATGTCAGGCTCAGGGCATTGAATCCTCAACCCACGAACAGCCCACAATTGGCTGCTGCTCTGCAGGATGTGTGGTACCAACTACCTCCGGACGTGTTCCAGAGCCTTACAGACACACTTCCACGCCGTATCGCTGCACTCCGCTGGGCCAGAGGGGGCCCGACTAGATATTAGGTGGGTATCCCATGAGTTTTGCTCAGCCAGTGTACATATATGCTGACTTCTGAGGTTTAAATCAAAAAAAAAAGAACAACCATCGTATATTAGAGAAGGACATCACAAAAATACATCCAGGCTTACGGAGGGAAGGATTTGAACCCGATTCCTGCACGCTTTAAAGTGTTTGGGGGAAGGACTATAACCCTCGGTGAAAGAGCTGACAAATTCCAGCAGCTCTACAAACAATATAAAAAGTATATTGGGAATATTTTCTGCTCATTTGAATGACAGGAAATTAATTTTGTTTATTTTCGTCTTTATTTTAAGAAATTATCCTCTGAATTTTATGAACGTAACCTCGTAATAATTCATTATCTTTCACACAAGAGAGTAATTTTTTTTTGTATCCTGTACAGATTGTAAATTGGCCCAGTGGAAAAGGTCTTGGTGGATCAAGTCTTTTGAATTCCATGATGTATCTTAGAGGAAATAAGAAGAACTTCGATGATTGGGCTGAGGACGGAGCAAAAGGATGGAGTCACGAGGAAGTACTTCCTTATTTTCTGAAGCTTGAAGACGAGCGGGATTCTCGATATTACCAACCTGGTATCACTCAATTTATTTAATTGCTTTGTAAAAATAAATGAATAAAATTAAATACACAAAAAAAAATGAAATGGATGAAAGCAGAAAAATAACATACATAATTTTAATTTTGTGATTAAATGTGTGAGCTTCATTCTCTAAGACTCTTAAACGATTTTGACTTATTTAGAAATAGTTTTTCATCTTTAGAACAGCCTGACTGTTTTCACTTCAGCGAGATATCAGTGGTGAACATGACATTGTGAGAATTGTTTTCCTAGTTTGGAACAACTTCGTTTGTTATAGACACTACAATATTACGTATTAAAATTGTAAAATAAAATAAGTATTACATAAAAGATGTAAAAATAACTTATTATTTATAATCTGTGAAAATAAATTTGAATTTCAAAGATGTAGAAATAATTATTTAAAGAAAATAAATATTGAAAAGTTGCAAAAAATAAATTAATTTTAACAGAATTAAAAGGTGCAAAAATTCCTGCAAAACTCTCTAGATCATATGAATTTCATTAATAAATCGAATGAAAGAGCCGCGATTGCTCAGTCGTATAGGTTGCTGAGCTTTCGTAGTGGATAACTGAGATTAATCTCTGGAGGCGGCTTGAAGTATGCCGTTTACTGACTTATGGAATTTTAACCTTCGATGTTCCTTCAGTTACAATGATCTGTTGTAAAAATTTTTTACTTTAAATCGAATGGAATTAATTGTATTATTAGTTTATAAGTTATAGGGACTGTATGCTTAAAAATTTGATTGTTTATAAAATCAAACATTGCTTTACGAGTTAATATAGTTACGAGATATCCACGCATAAATGGATATGTGCCAATATATATATAGTATATATATATATTTTTTTCCTAAATAAAGTTTTCTTATCTTACAATCTATGACTCCTGTTGACTTGATTTTAGTATTATTCGATTTTGCATAAAAAATATCTTTGGATCAATTTCTTAATTGTCTAGACAATAGTGATTAAGTTTTTTCCTCCCTTGCATTTTAGTTTGTTACAACGCATTCAATTTTTGCGAAAAGCAATATATTACCGGCGTGTTCTTTTGCAATTGGTAAATTTTATTTATTTCACAACCTAGTATAAAGAATGTTTGTTTCACATTTAAAATAAGAATATAAAGTCACAAGAATATAGAGCATATGAAGTTCCTAAACTGTAGACCTCCATTTTGTCATAAAAAATGGTATACCGATATGTTAAGCAAAAGATCTGTTATTTTAAAATTGTTTCACACTGTCAAAATAACAGTGTGAAATCGTTCGTTAAAGCAATCACTTCGTCAAGAGTGAGATGGATTAAAGGTCTTTGCCACTGCTGAAAATTTCAATGGGCGTTTGCTCTTCTGTATTGCTGCAAAAGCCGGCCATTTTGAAACCAATTAAATATATTTATTGGTAAAAGTCAATTTTGTTTTGTTAAATTTCGCCAATTTATTTATATTTAATAAAGTTAGATTAAATATTGTTTGTCCTGTTTTTTCTTTCTTTTATACTCTGCATAACAGAATACCATTCCACTGGGGGACCAATGGCAGTCGAATCTCCAAATTTCTATCCTAAGATTCAAGATCCGATATTTGAAGCTGCCAGAAGCATGGGGTACGAAATCGTTGATCCTAATGCCGAGAAACAAACAGGTAAGTCAAACATAATAGCATTAAGTTTACCTCAATTTACTTTCAATTTCAAAAGAAGGGCGCCGTGTAACATTTCAGATGAGTTCTCTATTAAAAAAAAAAGAAAAAAAAAGAAAAGAAAACTCATCTGAATTGTCACACGGCGCCCTTCTTTTTCTGCCACAATTGCCGAATGAGAGTGAGCACGTGACCGAGGAGTCTCGGATGTTTCAGGTAAGAGAGGTAGTCAAATATAACAGCGGGTTTGCTCGATTTGTATACTAGCTCTATGGTATATCTTAAGCCTATGGGCTTTAGTGAACATATTTACATTATAGACTTTAGGCCAATTCTTTGCTGTGGCGGCATAAAGTAGCCACGTGACAGCAAATGGTCAATAAGCGAACTAGGCAAGTTTTTTTTTTCCTTTTCGATATCGTTAGTACAACATAAATCCTACTTTGGGTCGGAAAGAGTTAATTCTTTATACAACATATAGAGAGATAAAAAAAAGAACATTCTTTAACATTTTATGCTTGAAGGAAAAAAAAGAATACAAGCAAATCAGTGTCTACCAGGGCTGGTGCTAGTTAAATCACTAGATTTTTTTCTTAAAAATCATTTATTTTAAATCCTGTGATTTTTTTTTAAAGAAATCATTGATTTGAACTTAATGATTTTTTAATATAAATCATTAAGTCGAAAATATTTTTTGTTCGATTTTGTCTAATTAAATTTATTTTTGATTGGTAATGAAGGGTTTATCCAAAAAAAATAATGAAAGAGTAAATTATTATGTTTGATAATAGACATACAAATAAATAAATAGAATTAAGGATTTAAATTGAATAAGAGTAACGTTAAACTGCTAAATTATAATTTTCCAATACCTGTATATAAAATAATTTGCTGCTAATATACATGTTTTAATTATACCTATTTTGTTTTATGTTTATTTGAATATTTTAAGTGTTTTTAAGAGATATCAATATTAAAGGAAAACTTGTTCTGCTCAAAGGATCTTACAATAATTTATTCTTTAATGTATTCTGACATAGACTAATTTAATCTAACTGACTAATTGCCTTCCCTTCTTTAAAATTTTAGGATGTTCAGCTTGAATAAAAATAACCATGATTTTATCTATTCAGTGATAAATTTGTTATAATGAAATAATAATTTTTAAACATTTCAGTGAGAAATATCTACTATTTCAGCTTTATTGTTGTTTTTAAATAATATTAAGTATTGCTAAATTTATTTTTGTCAGATGGTTTAACTGGTAAATGTAAAAAAAAAAAAAAAAAAATCTGGTTTAAATAAAAAATATCCAATTTAAACAAAAATAAAATAGACTTTTTTTGATTTTTTCATCAATCATGAATTTTGCCAGCTTTGATCTTTTCATTAGTTACTAATTGAAAACATGTTCTTTCATTCAATCATAGGATTCATTTTTTTTTCTAACTAAATAAACCCTGAAACTACTTATGTTTTATGTACAATTTTAGTACATCTTCTATCTCCTTCTGCACAAATGAATATTCACATCTAAGCATTAATTCTTCGAATTTTTGTCAGAAAGTATACAATTCAAATTGTTATTTAAATAAAGAAAAGAAAAGAAAAGAATAGAAACGCTTTAAAAAAAATCTGAAAAATTGCTATTAATTGCTTCCCGCAACAATTTTTTTAAAAAAAAAATGAATGAAAAACAACATTTTTTAATATCATTAATAAATACAAGGAACTGAAACAAAACATAATACGCAAATTTTAAGTTTAAATTTTAATTTTCTTATGTTTAAAAAAACATTTATTTTACCCTCAGTTTATTATACCGAGTTATCTTGGACAAATGAAAAAGTTGAATATTTGTCTTTGTGTGATAATTTTCAAAACAAGGGACAAAACAAAGTGATACTTTCCAAACTCCAGTAAAGTCATTTTTTTACTTTTTACTTCTTCAATTATTTAAACTTTTTTTCTATGTAAATTCAGCAATCATCGAATATACAAAACACGCAAGCAGTTCCACAATCCAACAGCAAAACCGTCAAACCACACATGGCAAACTTCCAGTCACAGCAGATAATTATAAATTCTGCTACGCCCGACTTTTCTCGGGATAATAAACATTTGCTATATATGGATGGTGTTTTCTACAGTTTGGAACGCTGCAAGCTCGGTACCGCCTAAATTTCCGGGTTACTGCTTCCGTTGTATTTTAAAGCAATTTGGCATCGTTGTGTTTTGAGATTCTTGCAAACAATGTATTTGATTTCTTATTACTTGTGTTTGCAATGCTAACAATGTTTGCAATGCTAACAATACTTGTGTTTACAATGCTAAAAGTGTTAACACTAACGTAAGATGGAGCACAGCTTGCAACAAGAACAAACAGTAATAAGCTTATGGAAAGAGACCAAATCAAGACTGCCAAAAAAGCGAGTTATTCAAAATCTAGCAACTATGTTACCTTTTTTAATACTAAATAACAAAATAACTAACTCCAAACTTTTCACTCCAAACTCCCCAGAATTACATAATAACATTAATATCTTATGAAATACGGCAGATTTGAGCTCAGAAATTATCTAATTTATTTATTTTATTGAAAACAAAATTAACCGTTTGAAAACATCGCCTATCAGAATAACAAGTAGTAAGCAGCTGCAAACTTTTTAACCGGAACTAGAGTAGGTGCCGAGCTCGAGATTGTTATTGTTTGCATTTCTACTGAAAACATCATCCATACGTACCCAAGTTAACTCGTTATAGTCAGGGAGGAAGGAAAATGGGACTAAGAACAACAAGACCAATCTGCGTGCGTGTGGAAACTGTAAGGAGTTGCTAATAATCTCCTTTTATTTCATCTTAGATTTTTTTAGTAATGAAACACGTTTTAATAATTTGTATCTTGCTATCCTAGTTCTTTTCATGTTAGGCTTCGATATAGTTTTTTTCCTCACTTAAATATTGATTTGCAACCCATATACTTTAAGCTTATTTTTGATGTCGATTCTCGAAATATATATGTTAAAAGCGTTGTACATAGAACACCCAATTAAAGTTACCAATAATTATATTTTTCAAAATGCAGCACGTTAACTGCCTATTTTAAGTATTTCTTGTAATCCTTGTTTCATGTTTTTTTAAGGATTTGTGGAAGTTCAAGCGTCTCTTCGTAACATGCAAAGGTGGACTACTGCGAAAGCTTATTTAGTGCCGGCGGAACACAGAAAAAACTTACATATTCTTACAAATGCTCACGTGACTAAGGTAAATAGATTAACAAATAGTGAATGTCCCAAAAATAAACTAGGGGATTTGAAAAATCAGTTATTAAAAAATGGAAGACGATGGAAATGGAAGATAACATGGAAGGTGAACTGAATCTGAATGTAAACAGTAACAACCTTTCTAAAACCGGATGAAATTAAAATAAAACTTCAGGTGTATCCCTCCCCTCGTATTATGCCTTCTAGGCAATATGTGAACAGGCTTAATATTCTGGGAAGTTCTATTATTGGGATTTGAATTTAAATTTACTCGTAATTTTATCATTCATAAAAGTTTTCTTTAATTTTTAAATTCTAACAGGTCATGAATCAAAAACAAATTTAAGAAAATTAATATCACAGCATAAATAAAGTTTAAGGCTCGCCATGTTTTGAATGTTATCCCTTATTTGATTATATTTGTGTAAAATAGAATTGTTTCTTATTTTTTGGGTAGCACCGGAGCAAGCTCGCGAAGTCTTCCGAATTCGTTTCCTGTTTGTTTCGTTGAATAAATTGAAAGAAAGCGTTGTATTAAAAACACTACAAATATAAAGGTATTTTTTCGAACTTAAACGAAAAAATCAATCGGAAGCAGTAACTTGAATGTCTTAAGACGAATTTTAACCCCAAGAGCCATCTGTGCTTAACTTTTCACGGTTAATCATCCGTAGCTTGATGCTTCCCGCTTAGAACACAGGAACAATTTTTCACCTCAACTCTTAAAATAAATTACAAGGACCGATGCTGCTGATAAATAAATGTATCCAAAAATATTTTCAAAACAACCACTACTTTTTTCAATAACGTAGCGTAATAGAACAACAAAATTAACCTACTACAGAGGAAATACTTCAAATGAATTTTGTGAAATTTAGAAGGAGACATTGCTTTATAGTTTTCTAGTCTATGGCGCCATCTGATGGTAATCTTTGTAAAATTTTAAGAGATTCAAAAATCTAATTTCCTTAGTAATATGCCCCAAAACTGCAAGTTTCTAGCAGCTTCTGTTTTTCTACAATTTTTTTAAATTGTTGATTATTTTTGGAATCCTTTCAAGGAAGTGAATTTTGTTTTATTGGTAAATAACTTCATTTTCATTGCTTAAGAAAGCGTCTTCACTATCAACCATATTAAGATTTTACAGCTTATGATTTTATAATTTTTTATTTAGTTCTCTTTAATTTTTCTCGAAATAACAACAAAACTGCTTTGACATAATTGCTAGTAATTTAATTATTTCCAGTTAAAGTCTCGTTTTTCTCTCCTAGATATTGCTCCAGAATAATAGAGCAGTCGGTGTTTCATTTGAAGTGAATGGAGAAAGATACGCAATAGAAGCAAGGAAAGAAGTAATTGTATCTGCCGGTAGTATTAAAACTCCTCAAATATTGATGCTCTCTGGAATAGGACCAAAAAATGATCTTACAAAACTTGGAGTAAGTTAAGGATTTGAAAAATGATAAGCTGTTTTAACCAACAAGTCTGACAGACTAATTGAAATTTTTTTTTGGCATTACGCAGTGTGCACTACACATTTAAACTATAAATCTGGTTTAAGAGTATATTTTTAAAAAATGTATATAAAATGAAGTCAAGACAAAAACCTGATATAAAATTAGAATATTCAAAATATTGAATGTCTTTATTTAAATTTGTATTTTAACCGTCATTGCTGCTGACTCAATTTGAAGTTTATGATTACCAATGTTCAACACCGCGGCCTTGTAATTCTGTATCCAATCCTGGTTCAAGTATTGGAAGAAATTTGTCTTCGTGGAGGACTTTATGATGAAACTAACGTTCCATCAACATTTGTGTTGTATGGGAATAAAAATCACGGAAACCATCCATCGTTATCTTGACGACAAGGGGACTAATGGCAGTCATTAATCTGTCTATGCTGAATTCTTATTGATCAGCCATCACTGTAATTCGAACCAGTGCTCTTGCATATCCTTATTGAGTTATTCTCGTATATTCTTTTGCAGTAAAATTACAATTTAAAAGAAACACCTAATGCCTGCATTTTGCAGATTCCTGTCGTAGCTGACCTACCCGTTGGACACAATTTGCAAGACCAATGTTCATGTCCAATGAATTTCGCTTTGGACTCTAATTTAGAGACTGCAGACGAACAGTTAGCTGATCCTGAAATAATCGAGCAATACATCAATCACCGAGAAGGTAATGAAATAATAATTTATTTGAAGGAGTATTTCGAAAGAAATTATTATATTAGTTTTATTAGAAGTAATAATTTTACTTAGTTTAAATGTTAATGTAATTCAATACGACAGACATTGCTAAATAAAGAGGCCGCCAGAGATGTGTAGACGTTTACATTCTTCTAATCTAATGCGTAGAAAAAATTTCTTTTTAATTCCAGTCCGTTACCGAGCTACTATAAGAAGCTGGATGATTATCTCCTTCCATACTAAACGATTCTTAATGGTTGCAAGGAAATGAATTTGTGCTGGAAGAAAATCTTCTAAAAATAGAGGACTTAAGCCATTGTTCCGATCGTCACTGGTGTTACTTTACGTCATCACCATAACTAAGTTGCCAGGTTACAAAATATGAAATTGAAGCGTAATAAAGGTTATTGAGAATTTTTTTTAAGATACCTTCTAACTAATTCTGGAAGTACTTATTGTGTTATTTGTTGTATTATTCTGTTAGTTAGTACTGTTTATGGAAGTATATTTTGAAATAGTTTTGTAAATTGATCGCAAGTACATGATAGGTTTCTCTCATAGGTTATATTGTGGGGGTTCAGAAAGAGGTTGTATCTTTTCCTTCTTAGTTTGTCGTTATTTTAATCTAGTAATTTTTTTAATATCCCTCTATTTTTAGATTATTATTTTTTCCTATTTTTTAAAACGTTTAAAAAAATTTTCTCTTTTAGTCTCTGTGTTTTGTCCTTATATTGATTGTACAGCGTATCTATATTTGCAGATCATGCACAGTTTATAAAACTCAATTATGACTCTTTTTTGTATCAGTCTTTATAATAATCTAGTGTGCTTTACCTAAATAAAGCCACCTTAATGTTTGGACTGAACCAGACACAAAGAAAATCAACGAGAATCAAACATATATATTAAGAAACTCTATATCCAAACACACATTTACAAATAATAACTCACTTCCTGCTCCACCTCTAATGGAAAAATACACCGGACAAATAAAAAAAAACGAAGAAAAAAGGTGTCCTATCAAAATAAAACTTCTTCTGATAATATTTAAAATACCCACTGCATTTTAATAGGACTTAAAATATGTTTATTATTTGCCTATTATTTATCAATCCATAGAGGACAATAGCATTAATATTATGTCAAGTTACAATGATGACATTTTTCAACTCTGCCAGCGGACTGAAACTATTTCCTTTTTGAATATACAGCCACATTGAGGATAGTCCCTCAGGTTTTTTGGGGGAATTGAGACCATGAGAAAAGGCAGATCATTCCTGACATGCACCTTATTATCATTAGATACCTCCAGTTAGAAGATTTTTCAGCGTAAAGGAAGTCATTCCTTGCTGACAAATTGGCCTTGGGCCACCAATTATCTCTTAAAGTGCAAGTTCATGAATTATTAGTATTTTTTGGTAATTGGTAGCCTTCCTGTGGTCTGGTGAAAAAACTACGCTAAGTCAATTTGCCGAAGTTTTAGCCCACCATAAACAAAGACTTCTCACAGTATTTATGAGCCTCCAAATTACTGTCCATTTGGAAAAGGTTTTTTCTTTTTTCGATCATATCTACTGTTTCATTTTATATTTCCTATAAGAAATTTACTATATAAAAAAATTAGCAGTGCCACAAGTTGAAAGCTATCATCATACAAAGATAGTACAAGATCGAAGGTATAAGATGATCCAGAAAGTTTTATGTGAAATTAAAAACGCAAGAAAAAAGTGAAGGATTTTTCCCTCCTTCAGACAGCAAGGGAAAAGATCTTAAAATGTATGGGAAAGCTTCTGAAATAGTGGGTGGACTTAGACAGCTCCGAGTAGCTGGGCATATCATTTTGAGGTCTATTGTACCCAAACCCTAAAACATGATTAATAAGAAAGCTTTATAGCTGAAATGAAGTTCAACTTTAAACACCTGACAAGAACGTTTTGTAGTTCCTAGGCCTTAAGGCAATGTTGCCCTAAATCAGGGGTGGCGAACCTTTACACCAACGTGCCATTTTCTCTAAAAAATTGCTTAATGAGATCATAGACGTGCCGCTAAATAATTTTGACTTCGTGATTATTGGGAAAATAATAATACTAAATATGTACTATCAACTCAAAACTCTTTATTTACACGAAAAAAAAAAAAACATTTTGCAATATCTCAGTTATACACGTAATTCAACTTAAAGTAATATCAGTGTGACTTCTGTTGTTGTAGATTAGATGACCAATAACTTATATTAGGTTGTAAGATGTTTGTTTAAGCAGGATTGTTGATTTTTTTTTTGCTAATTATTTACTGTTAGCTTGTTTTTTAAGGTTATTAATTGTTTTTTTAGTATTAATTTTTAATTTTTTTATTAATAATTGTTTATTATTTTGTTTGTTTTTTGTGAATTTTAATTTAATTGTTAGATATGCTTCATAGTGTAACAACAATTGTGATCGGTGGAGTGCCCAAAATATTGTGTCGCGTGCCATTGGTTCGCCATCCCTGCCCTAAATGCTCAAAGTTTTGAGCAGAATAGACCTCAAAATCGCATATGTCGTGATAGTATCCTTCTTAAGAGGACAACCTCGACACAGAGAATCAGATTCAATACCCATTATGTATAGGCATCTCCTGAGGGAGCAGTGTCCACTGAGAAGACTTAACAAGTCTTTATCCACCAATGTGGAGGCTGACGATATTCAAAAATTTTAGAAATCCATTTATTGCCATTTGCAGGTAGTTGGTATTTCGAGATCGGTCGGTATTTTAGTTCGAAGCGGACTTTCCAGCATGACAGTGTCTTCATTTACCATGCAAAATCTTGGAATTATGGTTTTTTGATAATAAGTTGCATCTTAAGAATTACCTTCCGTTTTACGTGTCCTCAATCCCCAAGAAAACGGGGGCTATCCTCAGTAGGACTGCATATAACTAATGTAGCAGTTTTAGCTCACTGCAGAATTGTAGGCTGCCCTCATTAAAACCGAGGACAAGTACTGAAACTAATGTCTTCCAGGATTTTGTCAATGGTACCCAAAATCATATATCTGAAGCAATATATGAACTTAACCAACCGATATACACTGGCGTAAGAAATTAAGAGAATTTGCAGACTTGGCCGATTATCTCTAGAACTACTGGACCGATTTTAACGAAATTTGATAAGTGATAATTGATGCATTGTACATAACATGCATGATCGTACGTAACACTCGTTGGAGTCGGAAGGTATGGAATTTCCACCGGACAAATCAGGCCACTTGCTACAGAAAACAGCTAACTTCCTTATTTCAAATATGAAATCACGCTGCCAGGCTTGTATAACTGAAAGAGGGGACCATTAACCCATTTTTGTTTATTCTGCAAACGCTGTTTCATACCTTCCGACTCCAATGAGAGCTACGCAAGATATTGCGTGTGTATTGCATTTGTTGAATGGTTATTCGTTTTGCATTGTATCAATGTATGCACATTTCAAATTTCATTAAAATTGGTTCAGTAGTTCTACAGATAAACGACCAAGACTGAAAATTCTCTTGATCTCTTACAACAGTGCATTAGCTAGAATCAGAAGTGGTTTTATTTCGACGAGACACTTCCCAATTTTACCCTTGTAAAGCAGGCAAATTAGTTATTCCTTGCAATTACGTGTTTCGATATAGACTATTTTTATGTATAAGTCTGTGATAAAATAAAAATATTGTCTTCGTGTCTACAGAACTGTTTATGCTAACCTTCTAAAAAGAATTCGTAATGTAAAAAGAAATCGTTTGGAAGAGACGTTTCAAGTATGGAATTTTCTGATAAACCTGAAATTCCAAAATAAAAACATTTTACAGATTGCATCAGTGATATTCGTTAACTTTCAACTGTCATTAAAGGAAAGTGTTCAGTGCTCGTTCTTAGCCGCTTAATAATTTTTTTGTTCGATGTATGAGATAAACTCAAGGAACACTGTAAACGAGGTGGCACAGACCTCTTTGTCACCAAACTAGATTTTCTCTAGTCATCTGAAACTACGTGTTTATACTGTTTAGAGTTATGCTTAAGTTGTTTCCATAAAATTGAATAGTTTGAAATTAATTATTCGCTTAAGAGAAAAGCAAAAACTCTCCATACCGTTATTGACACCAATGATGCTTGATCAATTTCGGAAGTACGTACTAAAATTGAAATAAAAAAGTAAGCTATGTAACACTAATAGAAAAAGGATGCAAGTTTTTTTAAGGAAATCGTAAAAAGTCGTTAAACAATGGTTGACGTCAATGATGCTTAATTAAATTTGGCAATAGAAATTTTTGGTGTTATGCTTATTGGTGCAGTTCTAATAGGCACTTGGAAGTTCTAATAGGCACCTCGAGCGACAGCACAATGCCAAATGATACTGAATACAATTAATCTTTATTTTTAAGTGATGAGCACCGAAAAACGTGTTTCGTTCATCTAATAACGTAAAGCCCTCCTAAAGTACAAGAAATAAAAATAAATGAAAAAAATTGGAATTATTTTGGCTTTATTAATTGTGATGGTAAGCTTTATTAATTTATTTATTGTGTTTAGGTCCATTAATCTATTAAATTATTTTAAAAAATAT